CATCTGCTATCCATCACACATTACAAATCTAAAACCATCAGCACAGGAAAATTTAATTGGAAGTAGAACTGAGACACAAGCAAGAATATCCCAGGCTCCCTAAAAACTGTGGACAGACATCAGGACAATATTTAATTGGATTTTGGACTGTGACATTCCCTATGGTAAAATAAATTGCCTTTAGAACATAAGAAATAAGAACAGGATTACGCCATTCAGTCCCTCGAGCTCACCCTGCCATTGAATAGGATCTGACATTCCTCACATCCACTTTTCTCCCTTTTCCTTTTGACACTTGATTTCCCCTACTGATCAAGAATCTATCCATCTATCTCAGCCTGGAATATACACAAGGACTCTGCCCCCACAGCTCTCTATGGAAGGAAGTTCCAAAGACACTCAGCCCTATGAGAGAAGGAATTCCTCCTTATCTCAGTCTTAAATTTGTCCCTTTTTATTCTGAAACTATGCCCTCTAGTCATAGACTCCCCATGAGGGAAATACAGCATCTCAGAATTTACCCCGATAAGCCCTTAAACAATCCTATAATGTTTCAAAGTGATCATCTCTCATTCTTCTAAATTCCAATGATTAGAATCCCAACCTGTTTAACCTTTGTTTATAAGTCAATCCCTCCATATCAACGATCATCAGAGAGAGAAGGTTCACTCAGAACTACCTCCAAAGTAATATCTTTCCTTAAATACGAGGACCAAAACTTTTCGCAGCATTCCAGATGTGGTCTCGCCAGCACCTTGCACAGATGCAGTAAGACTTCCCTACTCTGATATTTCAAATCCTTAAAAATAAGAGCCAACATTTCATTAGCTGTCTGACCACCTGCTGCATCTGTGTGCTAGCTTTGTGTCTCATGCACAAGTACCCCCAAGTCCCTTTGTGTTGCAGCTTTTCTCCACTTAAATAATACTTTGCTTTTGTTCTCCCTTCCAAAATGAACAACTTCACATTTTCCCACATTATACTCCACTTGCCAACATTTGCCCACTTACTTAACCCATCATATCCTTCTGTAAATGCCTCATAACATGACTTTTACTCTTGTCTTGACACGAGGCACGAGCACATGGTTTGGAAACTGTGGAATGGTTGAATTTTGAGGAATTTCAATCAACATTCAGCATCAACAGTAAAGAAAATTAAATGGAACATTAGATCTTTGTATCCTCACTAGTCGCTGGAGAAGTCCTGGAGGACTAGCAAGTAGCTAATGTTGTTCCACTATTCAAGAAAGGAAATAGGGATAAACCAGCAAACTATAGACTGGTGAGTCTCACATCGGTAGTTGAGAAGATATTGGAGAGAATTCTTAGGGGTAGGATTTATGTGCACTTGGAAAAGCATGGCCTAATGAGGGACAGTCAGCATGGCTTTGTGGGGGCAGGTCATGTCTTACTAACTTGACTGAATTTTTTGAGGAGGTGACAAAAATGATCGATGAGGGTAGAGCAGTGAATATTGTTTGCATGGATTTTAGTAAGGCCTTCAGCAAGGTCCCCCATGGCAGGCTCATCTAGAGGGATAAGATGCACAGGACCCACGGTGACACGGTTGCGTGGATTCAGAACAGGCTTGCCCATAGAAGACAGAGGGTAGTGGTAGAAGGGTATTTTTCAGATCGGAGGTGTGTGACTAGTGGCATTCTGTAGGGATCCATACTGGGACCACTGTTGTTTGTGATATATATAAATGACTTGAATGAAAATGTAGTTGGGAGGGCTAGTAAGTTTGCAGATGACAGAAAGAATGGTGGAGTTGTGGACAGTGTAGAGCATTGTCAAAGGATACAGGGATCTAGGGATATAGATCAGTTGCAGAAATGGGTGGAGAAATGATAGATGGAGTTTAATCCAGGTAAACGTGAAGTGTGAGTCACTTTGGAAGATCAAATGTTAAGGAAATGTATAGTTAATGGCAGCACCCTGCACAGCATTGATGTAAAGAGGAATTTTGGGGTGCAAGTCCTTAGCTCCCAGAAAATGGCCACACAAGTAGATAGGGTGATAAAGGAGATGAACGGCATGCTTGCCTTTATTGGTTGGAGAATTAAGTACAAGAGTTAGGATGTCATGATGCAGCTTTATAAGACTTCAATTAGGCCACAATTAGAGTATTGCATTCAATTATAGGAAGGATGTGGGGGCTTTGGAGAGGGTACAGAAGAGGTTTACCAGGATGCTGCCTGGATTAGAGGGTATGAGTTATTAGGAAAGGCTAGGAAACCTTGGGTTATTTTCTCTGGAGTGGAGGAGGTGGAGGGCACACTCGACAGAAGACTATAAAATTATAAGATGCATAGATATGGTCTTTTTCCCAGAATTGAAATGTCTAAAACTAGGGAACATGCATTTAAGGTGAGAGGGGGAAAGTTCAAAAGAGATGTGAGGGGCAAGTTGTTTTTTTTTTAAACACAGAGTGGTAGGAGTCTGGAATGCACTACCGGGGCAGTGGTGGAGACAGATATGATAAGGGCACTTATGGGACTTTTAGACAAGCACATGAATATGCAAGGAATGCAGGGAAATGGACCAAGGGCAGGCAGAGGGATCAGTCTAATTTAGCATCACGTTCAACACAACATCACGGCCGAAGGGCCTGTTCCTATGCTGTATTGTTCTATGTTCTATGAAAGGTAACTTGGAAAAGAGACATTTTTTTCAAACATAACCATTGTTATGAACTGATCTGCCAGATGGAATTTCTTTGCTAGTAGATCCAAATATATGATACAGCTATGAAAAAAATCTCCAAGATAAATTTACAAATCCCAACTAAAATCACCTTTCACATTTACAACACACGGGCCAAATGGTTCCTAAATTTTCCCAATGGTAGCCCCTGCTATTAATCAACTATTTTACAGTGACCTCACCAAATGATCAAGAACCACACCTAAAAATAATGAAAGGGTATCTGCAATGGTCATTCAAGATCCAATTAATATTACTGTCAAATATGCATTTATACAAGTGAATTTTTCTAGTAAAATTACGGTGCATCAATATTGCAGATTGGACATATCTTCAACACTGGCCCTCGTATCACCTCATCCCATTTCATAAAGAAAACTCCTTTATTAAGATTCAATGGAATGTCTTGGCCTCAATCGCAGCAGAACACACTCCATTGCACTAAGCTTTCTAATCTGTATAATAGTAAACCAAACTTTAAAAAAAAATCTACAGATTTACTATCTTCAGAACTGTGCCATTTAGACTATATTTCCTCATCCGCCACTTGAATTGATGGTCTCCTGTTTTGCTCTTCCATATTGTCTACTCTATTAATGCTTTTCATAAATTTAAAATATTTCCACTAGTTCACCCCAAAGGTCTGGACCTTCAACAGAAGAGAGACCCGGGCCATTCCTCCAAGGTATGAATTTGCAGTTCTGATGTCATCCTCATAAATCCTTCTGGCTTCAACTACCAAAATATTCTAATACACTCAACTTTATTTTTTGATGTTCATCCATGTTACGTTTCATGATTACTTCTTTGATCAATTTACCATTAGTAAATTTGAAATGCTGTGACTTTCTACCACCAAGGAGGACGAGGGCAGATACATGGCAATACCAACAAAATTATATCGTTGTTCTTGCGCTGTTGGCGAGCCTAAATCCCAGAACTCCTTCTCTGTGGGTGTATCTACACAACATGGACTGCAGCAGTTCAAGAAGGCAGCTTAACCCAACCTTGTCAAGCGCAATTTGGGACATGACTAGCCAGTGACACCCATATCCCATTAAAGAATATTTTAAAGACAAAAAAAATTCAGTTTTGTTTTTCCAGTGCCAAGCACAAATCACAAGCTCCTATCCAGTGAGAAAAGTTACCAATGATAAGCCAACTAAATAATAGTGTCGATGATAAATTTATTTCATCATTATTACCTCATAGCAAGTCAATTGATCTTTACAAGATTCCTTCACAAAACCAACTGCAGTGACAAAAATAAATCATTTATTAAGATTTATTGTAAAATGGTTGGAATGTTCAACTTAAAACTACAAAATACTGGAGAAAAATTGTCCTGTTTTAAAATATAAGTGCACTAATTGAAACTGGCAACCGTTGAAGAGCGCAGTGTGATTTATTGCACCACAGTAAACAGATACTAACAATGTAACTTCCAGACAAACTTTCAATATGTTCTCCCTTCACACAATTAAAACAGCCTGTTGCAAATGTTATGTTTCTCCAGCCTTTTTTGAATTTTCCAGTTGCTTTTAAATAATTTATTTGACTTTCAAGTTAAAAATATATCTAACTTTCCACAAAATCCCAAACATGCGAAACAGGAAAATATGAAGGAGGTTCTGGTGGCACCTGATAATATATTTATTTCTGAAGCTGATTGCCAGTATTGTCCATTCTTAATTCAGATTTCAAACATTTTTGACTTTACTTTATAAAAGATAGGCTCTTTTTAAGTCCCATCACACTTTTAACATGAATAATATCTGAGCTGGCCACGGCACAATGTAGTCACGTTTTCATTAATTGCTTTGGGTTCAGTGAAGTTTTTAAGCAGTGTCCATATTAAAATGCAACAATATTGCCAAGCAGATGTCTTCAACTTTCCATTTAGAAAAAAAATCATAAAACTGCTTTCTTTAGGACTGGGAGCTGCAAGCAGGTCTAAATATTTTCATGCAAATGTGAAGTGGCTCTTAGAACTAAAAAGGCACATTAGAGAGTTAGCATTCTTCACTTTAGAGGAATGTTAACTCGGAGAATGTATAAGAACTTTAAAATTATATAAAGTGACTGGACATCATAGTATTGGTTAAGACTTAAGATGGAATTTGTGTAGAATTGGCTGATCCATAAAATATGCTGGTAAAGGAATGGCTAGGAAGTATTTCTGTTCTCACCCACTGAAAGAGGCTATCAACGCATGAAAGAATACAGTTCAATAGGTATTGGTTGTCATGCCATTGGATCAGTGGCCATTTTCCATGTGTGAGTCAAAGCAGAGTACTTCAGTAGTTCTTTTAATTATAAAAGAGGATCACAAATGATGACAATACATACAACACATTTCAAGAGGAGGTCACTGGATGCCAATCAAGAATAAACTCCTGCGTAATGTTCACCTCTTCCCTCAACACAGGAATAATAAAGCAAACTGTGGAGCAAAACAGAGATCACACCACCTCTGCTGGGATTTCAAAGGATGACTGGGAATGGACGTAACTGTTTCTCCGTAGTGTTTGTTGTAACACAGCAAACCAACATAAGCAATAGGAGACCTAAAAACGGGTCATCAGGTCATCTGATGCAAAGGATTTTAAGGAGGCAGAAGCGTACAGTTGCTCAAGGAAGTGAAAAAATAATTTATTAAAATAAAGCAGACAAACACATCTGTATACTGTTTATCTAAGGTGATGTCAGTTACGTGACGCGTGCACTTAGATTACTATTATACAAATGTAAATAATAAATGCATGACAGTCCTTTATGATACAAAACACAGTCTTAATAGAATGTCAATAACATTCTCCAAATTATTCCTTCTCCTTACCCATCTTTAGACCCAACAGATTAAATGAAGGATGGTACAAGTAATCCTCTTTAAGTTAAAGCTGCTTCACTAAATAACAGAATCTCTGAAGATGATTGGTTGAGCACTTGTCACAAAGATTATAGGAAGAATTCACCAAGGGTCTATGATGTTGATCATTTGAACTGATTGTCAATCAGGGTACCTTTCATCTTGGCTTTCTTAGCCTCCAACTCTGCCTGCAAAGAAAGATGAACATGCAACTTTACTTACAGGAGCCTTTAACACACTATTTGGTGAAACCAATAATTATAAATTGACTAAAAACAAGTCAGTTAAAAAGCTTGACTCTTTTTCCTTGCAATCACATCAATACTGTGCATTTACAATAACTTGTAGCCATGATCGCTACATTTTCAGAGGAGGTCAGGATGGCAGGAGTTGAGTTTATTTTTGATTAATCTATTTGACACTGACAACAAATATAAAGCATGTCTATTATATGCTTTGGTTCTAGAATGAGATCCAGGAAGAAAATTAGACAAGAATGCAGTGGGTATGGACTCGGCTTCAATTCCAAGAACCTTCTGCTTTTTGTGAGGGCAGAAAGGGAAGAAAGCTTGCACGCACTGGCTGTCAAGGCTGAGTTAGTACAGGTTGCATTCATATTTGTGGAATACCACTGACAAGTCAGACATCTGGCCCAGCAGCAAAATTCTAGCTGAATTACTGGGTTTTGCAAATGCTGCACAAATGGCCTTTCACTACTAAATACCTGCGATGAGCCGTGAAAGTGCTCCTGCCCTTTCTTTTTTCAATGGTATTACACTAGAGGAGCATTTTAGTTTCTCATAGGTTTCACAGTTTATGCTGAGATTTCTTTTTCGTCCTGTATACACGAACAGCAAACCCTGAGCACAACCTAACTGATCTTAATAGGAGCGACAGTAACATTGCTAATATATTTACCAGTTCCTGCAGTCGCTTCTTGCTCATGCCCTTCCTTTCCAGCTGTTTCTCAATCACTTTGGCGTTCTGTGCATAGGAATCAGCAATCTCCCTCTGTCAAATGTACAAGTCACAGATTAGTGGCATTTACTGACAATTTCTAATTCTGAAATTCATACATATCTGGCTTGCTGTGAGCTTCTAATACTACATCCATGAAAGATGAAGATTTAGAAAATCACAGAATTGATATAGGACATAAAGAAGCCATTCACTGACTTGACTTCTATTGTTTACGAACCATAGTGATTAGAGGAATAAATGATAAATAAAAATTCATCCTTTAACACAGCTATAAAGCAAAATACTGCAGATGCTGGAAATCTGAAATAAAACAAAGTGATGGAGAAACTCAGTTAGTCTGGCAGCAGTCTACATTTGGTCTTGCTAATGTAAAGCATTGTGAGCAACAAATACATTAGGTTAAATTGAAACAAATACAAGTAAAATGCTGCTTCACCTGGAAGGTGTGTTTGGGGCCTTGTAGAGTGAGGAGGCGAATGGGCAGGAGTTACAGCTTTTGCGATTGCATGAGAAGGTGCCATGGGAGACTGATGGAAGAGTGGACCATGGTGTCAAGGAGAGAATGGCCTTTGTGGAACGTTGACAGTGGAGTGGAGAGAAAGATGTGTGGAGGTCCTTGGTTGAGGAAAAAAATCATGCGTGAGACACTCTGAAGAGGTGCCATCATTGGAACAGATGCAATAGAGGAGAAACTGGGAGAATCCTTGCAGGAAGTAGGGTGCAAGAGGTTTGCAGGGGATACTGGTGGCCAAACTACGCTCAAAAATGGAAAATGAAGTCAGGGAAGGGAAGGGACAGTGACCACGGATCAGGTGAAGGTGACAGAAGGATGGAAATTAGAAGGAAAACTGATGAACTTTCCAGACAAGAGCAGGAAGTAGCATCAATAACATGATTCACCTATCAGTGAAAATGACGTGGGTGGTGGCCCAAGAAAGACTGGAAAAAGGAACATTCCAGATACCCCTCAAAGAGACAGACATAACTGGGACCCATGCCCGTACCCACAGCCACACCTTTTACTTCAAGAAAGTGAGACAGGAAAAAGAAGTCAGTCATTCAGGCCCAGCTCCTTTCAGTTCTGAAGGAGAGTCAGACTGGACTTGAAACATTAACTTTACTTCTCTCACCCCAGATGCTGGCAGACCTGTAGAGTTCCTCCAGCACTTTGTTTTTTTTTTAATCTCTACAATGTTAATGGATTGTCAAGTAATTTAATGTATCAAACATGGCGCAACCTTCACAAGTCAATTTTAACTATAGCTTATACTTGCATTCATTCACTCTATACTTGATTATAGATTTCAGTAACTTTGACGCATTTGATAGCAATTAGCAGGTCTGAAGATTATTGGTCTCTACCGATTATATTTCTTAAGTAATGGAAAATTACAGCTGCAATTTTCCAATCCTAAAGCCACATTTCTGGAGAACTTTTGGAAAATAAAACTGCAATTCCTCCACAAATTTCTTTTATTCTCTGAGGTGGAAACTATTTGATGCTATAAATGTGTCTGTTAGCAACCCTTTCACGTTATGATAGCTTCTCTAGACTAGATATTGAGAGTATATCCACTTATGGCGTAAAGTAAAACTGAAGGCCACCAATGTAGGAAAATTAGCAAATATTAAACAGGGAATTCAGGAGACATTTACTCACATCGCAAGTATTAAGAATGTGAAAACTTGTGACTATAGGAAGTGGTTGGGATGAATAGTTATATGTACATTTAAGAAGAACCTAATTGAGAATGAGGAAGACGGGATAGAGTTATGCTGATACAATTAGATGTGGAATGATAGGAGAAAGTTTTCATAACGGTATGGGTCAAATGGCCTATTGTTGTGCCATATAGTTTTGTGTAATGCTAAGTCCATCATTTCTTGTTTTAAATTACATTAAATTCATCAGTGTCCTCTCTTTTGTTTGTTTGTAGATTCCCTTGCACCACTGATATATTGTCCTGCTGCTTGACAGCACTAACAGATCCAAAATTTTCATTTAATGAGTTGATCATTTCCATATTGTCTGTCAAAGTCTTGTCTGTGTCTATCTTTAATGGGCCTACATTTCCCTCAACTGCGGTTTTCTCTCCTATGTTTATAAGGGTGTTTCCAATTGGTTATGAAATTCCGTGTAATTTTTTTTTCTCATGTAGCCTTTCACACCTCCTATTACTCTCTTAGAATACCTTTGTTGCTTTTTATAGCTGTCTTTATAACTGCTTTTTTTTTTGTAAGCTTAACACTGTCTTTTACCCCATTTGTATACAATGGTTACACAACTACAATTGTGGGATCTTTACTTTTTATGAATTTTGAATATTTCTCACTTTACCCGTCAACAGTTCAGCTCAACTTACTGCGCATTTCTCATTTGTTCAAAGCTTGTATTAAAAATTTAAAACTTTGCTTTCTGGCTTTCCCTCATAAACCTAACATTAATCATATGAGGCCACTACTCACAAGACACTCGCTTATCATCATCTTATTAACTAACATTGGCTTGTTGCCCAGCGTTACATCCAGTGCAGCACACTTTCTTGTTGAGTTCTAAAAATAATATTCTAGAAAACTGTCTCAAATACATTTGAGAAATTCATTGTCTTTATGGCTTGAACTATTCTACTTTGGTCAATCTAAAATCTGCTGATTGTTAAAACTTTATTTTTTGATCATTTCACAATGTATTCCTGGGATGTGCAGTGGATCACTGGCAAGACTGGTATTTATTGACCATCCTTAGTTATACCAAAAATGTTACAATACAACTGTGTTCTTTGTCAGGACTTTATATGGAGTAGTTAAGGATCAGCTACGCTGGTTTGTGACAGGAGGGCTGCCTGAAACTAAACAAACTTTGAATGTAACAACCTTGGAACACTCACTCTGTGAGCGAAGCTTCAAGGCATACGATCTCAGACAATGCTTTCCTAGTTTTGAGGATCGGTAATTGAAGCAGCAGAAAGCAGGAATCATAATTAGTTGATTTTACTTGGGTAAGGATACCTTCCTGGTAAGATTGGTGATTTGAGATTCACCAGGAATAAGCAGTAAACTGACAGGTCTATGGTTTCTTGATTGTCCCCTCACTGCTTACAGAATGGAGTCTCATTTGCATTTTCTGATCCAATTCATGTTATTTTGATAAGAGTCATAGTAATTATTTGTTTTTCTTAAAAATCACTGACAGTATTTGAATTGAGACGTAGAAAATAAAAGCAGAAAATTGACCAGTAGAAATACAATGCATGAAATACTTTGAAGATCTATTGTTATACATTAATATTTGTCAATGATGAATATTATTTCAGCATTACATTTAATTTCTAAGTAGCAAAGAACCCAAAAGTTAACATCCCAGTCTATCAGTTGAAAGAATGTTTTTGATCTATAAAGAAACTCACTGCTTCGATCTCCTCTTCCTCTTCATCAATGGTGGACACAGTGACAGAGCTGAATTTACCCATGTCTTTGGTTCTCTTTGTCATCATTACCTGTGGAAACAGAAATCCAGTCAGTTAAGTCACATTCTTCTTTTATTTTACCACATCAAGCAAAATGTGCAAATTATTCAAAGCAGATAATATAAGGCCTTCTATTTGGAGTCTGTGCGAACATATTTATTTTTCATGTAACAAATGCATTTTTTTGTTAACATTTTTCCTGATGTATTCCAAGCCTCCACACAAGCCAGTTTATAAGCAATGAATCAGGAGCAGTTCTGAACACATGCGCTGCCCCAGATTTAATACCTTGCAGGCAATTCTTTGGTCATGGTCTCCCTCTTTCAGCACACTTTTGATCAAGAAAATTACAAACTTAGGCCAATGCATTACTCAAGGCCACACGATGTTGGAGTATAAGTCAGGGTGCTTGAATTAGTTGAAATATAATGCATATTGTGTTGTATATTTAAAAATGTGCTATAACATATATGTGCTTTAAATGTGCCTCTGGGGGCACCTTTATACATATTATTAATTATTTTCCTGAATGCGGCAACTTAAATAATTTGACTAACTGGATATATAATTTATAGATACAGAGCAGCAAGGTTATTGATTTTAAAATAAAGAAATATATCCTAGCAATGTGCTGCTAGAAAAAATATTAATACTGTATTAGGTCAGAAAAAGAGGAAATTATGGCATGGTGACATACAGCTTAAACTTCAAAGCTGCAAAGTCAGTATGTGTGGGAGGGCGGGTGTGAAGACAGAGATAGACAGAGGCAGAGAGATGCAGAGAGAGACTGCTTTTCTTTAGAAATATTTTAAACAGGTGACATTTTCCACTGTTCTATACATGACCATTCCAGTGCACTCCTGGCTGGTTCTGCACATTCCACCCTCAGCAATCTTAAGATCATCCAAAAGTCTGTTGCCTGGGTCTTGAACTAGGTCTAGTTCCCCTATCACCTTGTGGATCAAAATTTTGATTTATAATCCTCATTTTGATGAAAGATGCAATTGTTAATTAACAATTGAGATGAATGTCAGAATCCACCAAAATAAGATTGTCACCTGATGATTTATCAACAACAATCTCGGACCGTCCAGAAGAATTTTCCAATTACATAGTAATTAACTGAACAATACCTTATAGTAATATTACATTTACTATGACAAAATGCTCCAAAGTCTGCACAGGAGCTTTACAAAGCAAGTACACCCAAATCCTTGTTATCCACAGATAGGTGCATGGATCTCTCATGGATAACAAAAAACAATGTAAATTGTCTACCTACTGCGAAGAATCATGCAATCAGACTGGATGTGTCAATGGGAAACAAACAGAAATTGGGCTGGGGTTGAACTCGCGAGTACACTGATCAATGGGTAGTGAATCCACTGATAACAAGGAACCAGTGTATAATGTTCAGCTACATTTGGACAATTAAAGGTGATGACCAAAAGCTTGATTGAAAAGTTTAGAGGAAGAAAGCAAGGTAGATGTAGACAGAGAGGCATCAGAAAGGTTTTCCAGTGGTGGGCTTTAGGCAACTAAAGGCACAGCCAATGATGCAGCAAGCAAAATCAGGGAAGTTGAAGATACCAGAATTGAAGGAAAACAAATGTGAGGCTGAATGAGATTACAGTGGGACAACGCCAAGTAAAATATAATCTCTAAATCATCCATCTCTAAGTCTCTTGTGACTTTAGTGTATTCATCTGCTAGTCCCACAAAACCATTTCAAATTCCTCAGGGAAAATGATAAGTAAGAAGAATCTTTAAGGAGTCATAAATATATCAGCAAATGAATCTCAAGACATTATTCTTCCCAACATTTGGCTATGAAACTGAAAATATATGTATGAGAAAGTTATTTTTCCTGTCTCCCTTGCTGTGCAGTCTTCCAATTATAGCATGCAATCACTTTTGTGGTTTTAGAAGTGCAACCAACAACAAACAACCAGCAACCTGCCACAGCTCTCCTTGTAAATACAAATGGCTTCACTGACTTAATTCAAATTAGCAGCAGCAGAAAACTGCTGGTGAGCTGTAACTGAATTGGTAGGCTCCAGAAAGTCAGTATCGAACCGCTCTTACGAAACATATATAGCAACATTAAAAGGTAATTGCTTATACAAGATTGGTAAAATGTTCCTACTGATCTATACTAATGAAATCTATCATCCATATCCCCGAAGGAGCAGAATTTGTTTTGTGAACTTGGTTTACAAAAATAATCTGCTATTCAATTTTAATTTTTAGTTGCATCCTGGGTTCACTGAGAAAAGAATATCCCTGCTTCGGGTGTTCAAGTGTTGCACTTTAAAGGTCAAATGTCAGGTTTCAGATTGAAAGACCTTTTTGTAAGTGCCACTGTCACCCATATCTACTTAATTCACTCACAGCAAATCTTCTGGTTGGAATGTACGAACATGTGGAAATGGAAAAAACTTCCATTTCATGTGTTGGAATGAAATACCAGAGGCTGGGTACACAAACAATTACAGATGCGAGTTCTCTTCACGTTGCTTCAATGTTCCTGCTTTCCTACCTTCAGCTCAGTTTTGCTATGCTAATTGAATTTACATCTTTTGTACATATAACACAGCAAATTTACAGAGAGTATCATACCCACATGAAACATTATTGAGTTTGTCTTGTATTATGTGGACTTTGAACAGCTCTAATCATATCTCTCAACTTTTTTTTGAAATGTTACAAGCACAATAAACTACTTTAAAGAGCAGTAACTGTCATTAAGGTGCCAAACTTGCAACCGAATAGTTCCAAGAAAGTACTGAAAACAGATTAAACAAACTGTACCAATATGGAACTGCCCTCATGCACTCCTCTAAATGAGGATTAGAATCTGAAGTATTTAGGCAATTATCACCTCTTAAATTGGGGTACACTAAGCCACCTAGGATCAGCATGATCTCAAAACAAGAAATCAACCTTGAGTCCTTCCTGATCTGTACAAGTTATCTATTCACTTGAATAAACTAGCTAACCAACAGGTATGTCTACCCCAAGTTTTTCAAACTTCAGAATGCAAATATTTATCGTCAAATTCCATCAATAATTTTTCTACTTTTTGAATTTTGCTTACTGGAAAATAAAATGATAAAAAACGCTGAAACAAAAAGCAGATCTTAAATAAGTGACAATTTGGAACAAAAAACATTATTTCTGTATTTAAGTGGCAAAGTTGAAGAATTTTCCAAAATTCATCTACAAATCAATGTTTGGTAAATCTTGAGTAGAGTCAATGACTGTTAATTGTCTTGCATTAATGCTATTGTGCATTAAGGACATGGAAATACAACTATCAGATGAAATGATTCAATAATTTATTTTAGTGCAGAAAACTATTCCCCATTATGAGGAAGAGGAGTTGAAACTATGCAAGAATATTTCAGATTAGTGATCACATATTTCAGTGGCCTGTAGCTAGACTTACAGTAATTATTCCTGAACAACATTTTAAAACACAAAAACAAAAATCAGAGTTACTTATTGACTTTAGTGGTTTGTGGTCAACTCCCCACGAAAAGTAGCACGTGTCATTATAAAATAATTTGCAAATAATTAGGAATAAAAGTTTTCTGGAGGAAAATATTTTAACATAAAATACTGAAATGAAGAGGGCACATCAGCAATAGCACTATAACTAGCTTAAAAGTGAGATGTCAGCCTGGTGAAGCTACAGCACAGCACTACTGAAAGATGACAGGAATTACTAATCCCATAACGGATGGATCAGATCCAGTTGTGAATGGTGGTGGACAATTAAACAATTAACAGGAGGAGAATGGTCCACAAATATCCTCATCCACGACAACAGGGAAGTCCAGCACATCGGTACAAAAAAAAGGCTGAAGCATTTGCAATAATCTTCAGCCAGAAGTGCCTAGTAGATGGTCCGTTTTGGTTCTGTTCACCAAGGCTCAATTTGGTTTCTGCCAGAGCCACTCAACTCCTGACTTTGTGACTACCTTAATTCAAACATGGAGAAAAGAGATGAACACCTGAGGTGAGATAAGAGTGACTGCCTTTGACATCAAGGCAGCATTTGACTGAGAATGGCAGCCCTACCTAAACTGAAATCAATGGGAATCAGAAGAAAACTTTCCACTGGTTGTACTTAGCACAAAGTAAAATGATTGTGGCTGTTGGAAGTCATTCAGTATCAGAACATCACTGCATAGATACCTCAGGATATTATCCTTAGGCCAATCATCTTCAGTTGTTTTATTAATAACCTTTCCTCCATCATAATATCTGACTTGGGGATATCCACTGATGATCGCACAGTTCAGCATTATTTGTGACTCCTCAGACGCATATGGGCTTGGGCTAATAAGTGACAAGTAACATTCACACCATACAAGTGCCAGATAATGACCACCTCCGAGCAGACAGAATCCAACCATCATCTCTTAATATTGAACAGCATTATCACTGCTGAATCCCTCAGCATTAAAATTCTGCGGAGTTAGTATCAAGCAAACATTGAATTGGGCCAACCATATAAATGTTTTGGCTGTAAGGGAAGGTCACAGGCTTAGAATTCTGAGGTAAATAACTCACCTCTAACAATCCAATGTGCATTCACCATATACAAGGCACAAAGGCAAGATTGTGATGGAATATTGTCAATTGCCTGGACAATAACATTCAAACTGATTGACGCCATCAGGACCAAGCTGTCTGCTGGACTGGCATCCCATCCACCACATTCACTCCCTTCACCACCAACACACAGTGGCAGCAGCATCTACCATCTTGAACATGTACTGTAGTAACTCACCAAACCTCCTTTGATAGATAATCCCTTTCAAAACCGAAACCTCTACCATTCATAAGGACAAAGGAAGCAGATACATAGGAACACCACCAACTGCAAGTTCCCCTCCAAGACACTCGCCATCCTGACTTGGAAATATATAGCCAATTCCTCATTGTTAATGGGCCAAATCTTGGAACTCCCTCCCTAACACAATTATGGGTGCCTCGACATCAAAATGACTACAGCAACTCAA